GAAACGACACGGAGCTGTGCCACAAGGGCCGGGCCACTGCACAAAATCCTTCTTAGAACAAACTCAGGGACTTGGGGCGGGACTCCTCATGGTCCGCCCAATGAGTCCCGTTAAAGCAACGAGACTAGGTAACGGCCCTCTCCAAGGCATGTTCCCTAGTCCCGTGGTGGCACGGCTCTAGCCAGCGACCCATCTGATGGGCCGCGGCTAGGGCTGCTACTCTAATGTGGTGCACACAGTGTTGTGCACCAGATAGACTTCTACTTGCAAAAACTTGTCTAAACACTTCCAAAACTATTCCAACAATTCAAAAACATATCTTAGATCACTTCTAAACATAAACACATTAAAAACTCATAGTTTCTACTCATTTCTACTCAAAACTAGGTTTCACAGAGCCAGAACTAAAGAGGAATCCATGGGGTTATACCTCTTGTAGACCTCTTCTTCTTGCTTGGTTCTCGGCTCCACTTCACTCAAGGATCTCTACTTCTTTCACCACCTAAACATCTCAAACAACCACACAAGGCCTAAGTCTAAAACCTTAAGAAGAGATGTTATGCAGAGAAAATGAGAGAATGATGAAATGAATGGAGAAGAAGCTTACTACTATGGTGTTGGCAGCCAAGGAAGAGATCAGGAGGAAATGAGGTCAACACCATTCTATTTATAAGGGTTCAAAAACCCTAGGTTGATACACAATGATTGGTTGAGGGAAAAGAGGTAATTGTACAAGCTAAAAGATGAATCAGGATGATATTTTGGATGCCTTGTGGTCCACCTTGCAACATGAACCATGGGCTAAAAGTGATATTTCTTTATTACTTTGGGGTGGAAAGTGAATTTTCCAAAAAGCTATATGGATGAACACTTGTTCAAAATTCCCTTTTTTAATTCTCCCGGTCTCACTCGGGTAAAATTCTCGATTTAAATCTTGGTACGCAAAGTACCCGAAAACTTTGAAATTTTCGAATGAAATACATTTCTTCGGTGTCGAATTAATTTTAAAAATGGAACAAAATTATTTTATTCAGACACCGATTGATCGCAAAAATTTTTAATGGAATGAAAAAGCTACTTTGGGATTTCTTAATACTGGATTTATAAATTGAAATTTTTGGTTGTTACAGTTTTGATCCACAGTACATCAACTGACTTGGACAAATGCAATTTTCAGTTTTTCACCATTGGTTCTTCTTCTTCTTCTTCTTCTTCTTCTTCTTCTTCTTCTTCTTCTGGTGTAACACTGCCAAAGCACTGATTTTACCTCGAGAAATGATTCTGCGAGGGTGTAAACCGTTTGGGATGGATAATGATGCCAAGATATTTAGGGTTATTGAAATTGTAGGAAGGTGATGAAAAAGAATGTACCAGGCCATATGAGTTCATTTTCCTTTCATTTACTCAAAAAGTGTACACTTAATTCAATTGAATATAGATCTATTTAGCTCTATCGATTAGATATTTTGTGAGCTACTGTGTGTGTGGCTCTCATTATCTTATCCTTCTACTGGAGATATAAATATTTATATGATAATTTATTTCTTTTTCCGGCCATGGCTGCAAGGAGAAGAAGGGAGGAGAAGGAAGAAGAAGAGCATGAAATGACTATTTTGCCCCCATAATTAAACAATTAAAAATGGTTTATATTTTTCCTGCGACATTTGGCCGGTGATTTGACCGGGTTGACCAAATGTGTTAAAAATTGCATAGTTAGAGTATTAAATTGTTAATTTTTAAAGTCATGTACTAAAATTAACAAGACCCCAATAGTCACAGGACCAAAAGTGTAATTTCCTCTATTTTGTATTTATATAGGCAAAAAGAAAAAAATATCAAGACATACAAGCTAAGAATATTCATCCACATCTTTTAGCTCGAGGAGGTTATAAAAGGTTGGAGAATATGATGATGGATGAGAAGTTGAAAGAAAAACAAACATGTGCTGATGCAGATCCGTCGTATACAATGAGTCTTCCAAGTCCTCCAAGTAGAGCCGAAAAGTGGAAGAAAGCAAGAATTGACAAGTCAGGAAATTATCGCACTGAATCAACAAGATTGGTGGCGGAAAAAATTGTAAGTAAATATTATATGTTGTCATTTATTAAAGTAATAGTAATTATTATTGAATAATTTTTATATATGTTAGGATGCTCTTGAGTTCCAAATTTCTCAAGGAGAATTTGTTGAGGATGGAAGACAAGTTTCATTGACTGTTGCATTGGGTACTGATGAGCATTCTGGACGTGTTAGAGCCATGGGAAGAGGACATGGCATCAAAAGTGTATTTGGCAATGCAAAACGTCGCCAAAAGACTCCTGAAGATGTTCAACGATTGGTTGATGTTGCTGCTGATGTACGTCTTGATGCTACTGTTACACTAGCGCTAGAAAAACAAAACCAAAAAAATATTGCTCAGCAGGAGGAATTGAGTCAACGATTAACTGATCAATTTGAGGCACGCATGGCTCAGATGATGCTACAATTTAGTTGTCTGCAGACTCCTGTTCACCAATCTGTACAATCAAAGCAGGGTAATGACGTATGTGTGGATGCTGAGCTACCATCTCGAAGTGACAAAGCTAGTTCCCCGGACCCTTTTAGTAATTTACCGGCTGTAAGTATTCGTTTATAGTTAATCTTATTATTATTTTTCAATAAAATTTTATATGAATCTTAATTAAAAATTAATGCAGTTAGGGGCACGATTTCAATTGTTCTTGGAAGATCCAATTAGACGGCCAGTGGCATATGGGATAGCTTACAGTGTTGGACAGGTTCATGTGGTTGTACTGGATATAAATCATGTGAATGTGAGCGTAAATGAAGTTAGTGATCCAAGTGTACATGTACCAATCCCCACCAGTGAGGTTCAGCTTGTAGGTGATGTACTGAAGCTGCTAGAGTTATGTACTGAAGCTGATGCGATATGTACACTGAAAATATTTCTATTTTAAAATAGTAAGTAATTTACTTTTTAAAATAATAATTCTTACTTGTATTATAATTCACAGTCAAAAGAAAATACCAAATTGACTTTTCAATCGGGTGTGCAATCCGTACATCAACAATTCACTATAGCTGATCCAGATTCTTTGACTGATGGATGCAAAAATTCATTTTCAATAGCTCGCCGTTTTGAACACAATATTGTGGTCCATGTGGCTCGTGGTATTATGGGAAACATTGACTATGACTTGTACCTTGCAAGTGATGAGATAATGCGTTTCTTAAAAATGGAAACCATCGATGTTTCTCTAGTTCAGTTCTTTATGAGGTAATAAGTTCTTTAGTATTATTTATTCATAATGGTTTTATATTTATATAGTTGGTAATCTATATATAATTGGTTGTGTTTGTGAATAGGGGTATTTACATTAGTTTTGAGTTGGCATCAAAAGACACGTATGGCTTCCTAGATCCATATTGGATTCAACCACAAATGAATAATATGGAGGACAGGAAATCGTATATAAATGCCATCATGCAGTCTGGGAAGAAATTTGTATACTTAGCCTCATATGTTCTCAAGTAAGTATTAATTACGTTTTAAATAAAAATACTTATATATAATATATTTTTATTATATATTATATTCACTTAAAACTAATAAATATTTATTTGCAGTGAGCATTGGATGTTGATGGCGATTTGTCCTCGGCTAAATGAAATTTTTTGGTTTGATTCGTTTGGTCATGGGCCGCGTGAAGACATTAAACATATAATGGAAACGTATGTAAATTTATATAATTAATTAATAGTTATCATTAAACTAGTGATACCAAGTATTTATATATATTTTTTGTCTTATATTAATAGGTGTATGACTGCAACAAACATGATGAGTGGAAAGAAACAAAATCGTTCACCAAAATGGACTATATGTTCGGTAAGTACTTCATTCACTTTGTAAAACATGCAAACTTATTGCTTTTTATTCATTTATTTTAATTTTATTGTAATTCAAATGTAGTGTGCTATACAAAAAGGAACCACCGAATTTGGTTATTATGTGATGAAGTTCATGTTGGAAATTGTTTTCAACAACCTAAGCAAAGGAATGGATAAGGCAAGTAATTTAATAATATATCTTAGCTTTTTTCTTCAAATGTTTAAAAATACTTGCTTATTTATTATTTTTATTTCTTTTGAACTTTGTAGGCTTTGGAAAGACAAGAAAGATTGTCCTACAACAAACAAGAGATTGATGAAGTTAGAGACAAATGGTCTAAGTTTCTTATTCATGAATGGGTTAATAAAACGCTTCTTAGTTGATACTTTACGTTTAAAATTAGTTTATGTTTATTCGCTTGATGTTTAGTAGTTTTATTGAATTGTGTTACTTATATTAGTTTTGTGTTTAGTAGCTTGAATTAATTTAATGAATTGTGTTCTTTATATTAGTTTCATGTTTAATAGTTTGAATTAGTTTAATGAATTGTGTTCTTTATATTAGTTTCATGTTTAATAGTTTGAATTAGTTTAATGAATTAGTTGATGTTGAATGTTAAATTGCTAGCTGGATCTGAAAATTGATACATTGGGGTAAAAACCATAAAACAATTATAATATTAAAAAAAAATGTATATATACGACGTTAAATATTTACTAAATATCCGACGTCGTATTATTTAAAAAAAAAAATACCATACGACATCGGCTTTTAGTGAATACATGATCATTCACAACTTACAATCAAACTTTCCCCCCAAAGTTCACCAAAAAAGCATGCAGTGGGGACATCATGATCATCATGTGATTAAAACAGTAGGAAAGATCATAGATAGATGATAGAAGACAATTTCACACAATGAATGTGCTTGATAACAGTTATCAATGCACTTTTCGTAATACCTTCCAGTTGGTTTCTATTGAGCCAACAAATGCCCCTGGCTGTCGTTATCATCCAGCAGCATAGCCATTAAATTTGAATCACGATTTCCAATAGAAGAACCTCGATTTGGATTACAACCAAGGGTCCTTCCCGAATCCCGTTCCAGGGAATTTACTATCATCTTGCATGGACTGTATTTTAAATGATTAACTTAAGGGACTAATTAGAATCAGTTTGTCAAAAACTTCACGCAACATTCACCATGCTAAACAAATCGAGAAAATTAAATTAACACCTGAGGAGGATTTTCTCTCTGTGGCACCAGTGAAGATAAGTCCTCCACATATTTCCAGAAAGCAATCCACTTTTGAAGAGAATAAGAATATTAGACACCAATAGTAAAATGAAAATTTTAAAAACACAGAAACAATAGTGGAACTTCAGGAAAAAGGAAATGAGCACCTTGAAGTTGTATTTTGACTTGAATGTGTTGGAAGGTGACCTGAAACATTACTGCCAGTGCACATCATAAATTTTGATCTCCGCACACAGGTTGACTGCATCAAGAAAAAGCAGGAAGGGGTAGGTAAGAAGGAGGGGAATAACAAATTTAAATATGTGAGTTTGCAGATAAAAAATGCACTATATATCTTTAATATCATCAAGCCTCCTTTCGCCATCATCTTAGTTCATTTCAATCACCGAAAACGGGAGAGGAAGGGATGGACTCGTCTAGGAAGAAGAAAAGAGACCAATGATCAAAATACCTTCATTATTTTAACAATTAAAATTTTTTGGCGAAATTTGACCGGGAATTTGGCCGGAGTGACCAAAATTGACAAAAATTGTATAGCTAAGGTACTAAATTGACACTTTTAAAAGTCAAGGACTGAAATTAACATGACCCCTATAGTCATATGACCAAAATTGAAATTTCCTCATTCCTAAAATGTTCCTCCAATTATGACATTTTCTCAAATTGGTTCCTTGACTTTTAACTGCACCCAAAGTAGTCCAACTATTGAATTTTAAGCCAAAATGGTTCTCTATTAGTTTTGGTGTTAAGTGGATGTTTAAATGAGGGGTAAAACCGGCAATTCAGTGTTTTACTACAGTTAGGGGACTAGTTTGGGTGCAATTAAAAGTGAAATGACCAATTTGAATTATCTAGTTAATATTTTATAAGAAAACTTCATTTTTATGAACTATCTAGTTAATATAATCTAAAAGTTTCAATTGTGTATTATTGTATTTCAATTAATAATAAAATACTTAGAGTTGATATAATTAAATTAAAAAGTATTTATGAATATAATATTAATAGGAATGATATACAATTTGTTCCAACCATTTCATATTTTATTATGAGTTAATACCAGTCAAGGTCCCTCGAGTATAGTGGTTCCGCCACCTATGGTCCTAAACTTCCAAATCAACCATATGTGATCCTCTAAGTTTCAAAATTGACCTACCATAGTCCTTCCGTTAGTAAACTCTGTCTCAACCGTCAAATGTAAGGTTATAATAGTCTTTTTTACATTTTGCTCACCCAAAACAATTCAGAAATTAAAATTACTTACTTTTCGCGTTTTGCTCAACCAGAGACAGCGAGACGGAGCCATGGAGTGGCTGAGATAGTGCGAGGGTCGAGAGAGGAGGAGACAGAGAGAGTGCGAGGTTGAGAGCGGCTAAGGAAGAGAATGGCGTGTGAGATTCTTGAAAAGCCCTACCCGAAACCGATCGAATTCCGACCTCCGGAATTGGTAGGAACTGAGCGTGAGCGTGAGCTTGAGCTTTTCCGATTGAGAGGCGCCGGAGAGACAGAGTCAAACCGGCACGCCCAACTGCTAGGCGGTGGCCGCCGCCGTCCTCAAGAGCTTAGCCGTTTTCGGAGAAATCAAGGATGATTTCATCGAGGCTCCTGTTCAAATGGTGAGAGCACTAGCTTCGTGCCCGTTAATCGTCGATTTCTTAGTGGACCACGACTTCTTGAGCCGCATTGCATCCGTACTGAGCTGCAGGATTTTAGGCGTCCGAATAGCGGCGAGAGCGGTTTCCAACAGCCTTCTCCGTCTTCTGTAAATTACACGCGGAGGCCGCTCTTGGTTGGCGCTGCGAGGTTGAATATGGAAGTGGAAGAGATTCAATTGGTTAATTAATTTGCAAATACTAAGTGTGTAAACATGGTTATATGAATATGTGGATGTGTATATACAGGTTTAGTGGATCATTCTTTTGTATATAAGTAATTTCCGAGTTTGTGAAAGAAGGAAAAAATTAACGCAGATGAATCGAAATTCATAATATATGTAAATTTGGTTGTATGAATACGTACACACAGATTTAATGAATTAATGAAACTAACGCGATTTTATTTATTTATTTATTTATTTATTTACACAAACAGCAAATTCAAAATTCTGAGTTTATTTTCTGGAAATAAGACACAGTAAAGTTCAATTAGCTTGTAGATCTGTGGGTATTAATTTGAGCTACCAGTATTTTTATTTCTTATTCTTTAATTGTATTAATATATAGCGAAAAAGGGGAAAATGTTTTGTTTAATGGTTCACGTATTGTATTTGGAATTGCAGGTAGAAGGAAGGATAGAATCAGATTTGATAGTGGGAGGGATGAAGCTAGGCCTCTCCGGCCATATTCCGGTGTCGAGAACCCCTACTATATATAACATCATATGCATAATCAGAGTTGGGTAAGAGGCCAGATGATTCAGCTAAGCCCAAAAACGCAAAAACTAAGGCGTGCGGGTGATGAGGAGGCGGCGGACATGATCTGGGAGGACAGATACCACGTCGGAAACTTTTCCTAATTCAGACGCTTGAATTAGTGATAGGGAGGCATGAGTTATTTTATTATGTGATCGAATTAATGTGTATTGGGTGAGCAAAACGTGAAAAGACTTTTATGCCATTACATTTAACGATTGAGACAGAGATTACTAACGGAAGGACTATAGCAGATCAATTTTGAAACTTGGAGGATCACAGAGGGTTAATTTGAAAGTTTAGGACCATAGCTGGCGGAACCACTATACTCGAGGGACCTTGACTGGTATTAACTCTTTTATTATAAATATTCTTTTATCACGTTTTGAAGTTTTTTTTCGCCTCCATTGACCAATATTTTTTGTTCTGCCCCTATAAACCAATATTGTATTTTTGTAATCAGGGACGAAGCCAAAGGGGGTAGTTGCCCCCCCCCCCCCCTCACCCCACCCCCACCCCATATATAGTCTTTGTATGTATATATGTTATATAGTACAAGTTTCAGTATTAGTATAAAAAAACTACTAAATGTTAACAACAAATGAGTTCAATTAGTTGGTAGAACACATGTTTAGTAATGCTAAAGGTCAAGGTCAAGGGTTCAAATTATTATATTAACATAGTTCTACAATTTTTTACTCTTTTTCCTATGACTTCAACACACTCACGTTTTTAATAGCTTTTTTAATATTTCACACACACACACACACACACACATATAACATTCTTTTATTTATATTAATAATGAGATGTGTAATTTATAATGTGTTTTCTATTCAAATTATTTTATCAAATTAATTATGTTTTATGTTTTGTTTTGAATATTTTTGATGGATATATTAGGCATGGACCCGGGTCGAACCGACCCGGGAGGACCGGTGCGAAGGGCCTAGGGCGGCTACGGCTAGGGACGACCAAGGCCTCGGCCTATGGGCCATCCGTGGCCCGGTTAGGGGCGGTCTCGGTCAAGGCCTACGCCGGCCCAGGAACATGATGCGGCCCTGTGAAGAAGAAGTCCCGATCGCGATGGAAGCACACCTAGGTACCCGGGAGCGGGGCGAACAACGCCTCGTGGGCTTGGGTCGACCTTCGAATTGAGCTACTCTCTTTCGTTGACGAAGACTCGCAACTCAGAGAGTGGGGGACTGATGATGGATATATTAAGTATGGGCTCGGGGCGAACCGACCAGGGTTCGCGGCGTGATGCGAAGGGCCTCGGAGACCCCAACTGGGTCCCCGACGTAGACCTCGGCTGAGGTTTACTGCGTGGACCCCAGTTGGGGGCGACCTCAGCGCCGTCCAAGGTCGGAGTCAACCTCGGCGTCGGCCCTAACCGTGGTCGACCCCGGTTGGGGTCGGCCTCGGCTAGCTGAGGTTAGGTGGTCGCTCACCCAAAAGTGAACTCAGAGATCAAAGTCTCATACACGATGCCAAGGTGTCCAAGACTTGTTAGTGTTCTTGCGGAAGAGAAGAAGTCCCGATCGCGATGGAGTCACACCAAAGTCGGCCAAAGAGGAAGGAGGCGGGGCTGACGTCCTCCCGTGGGCTTGGAGTCGAAGAGCACCAATGATGGATTTAATTAACCCGGGGTAGACCCGAATCACTAAACCCGATAAGTAATGGATAGGAAAGATGTAGAATGTGTGTCGCGGGGACAACTTTGTATTGATAATATTCGTAAAAGGGTTACAGGATAAATGTGGTAATAATAATAGAACTAGATGTCCTTAGGCAAGACACTAACTAATCCTTTTATACTAGCCAAGACTCCCAACCGCCCCCCTATTCTCGCGGGGCAGTTGGATCACGCGTTGACCGGATCCATGCGAGTGCCCGGGGCCATCTTGTGCCTCCAGGCCCACGTAGGCCTCGCCCGAGGTCGCAGGCCGAGGGCTTGGTCGGCCTCGCCGTAGGCCGAGGCCTTGGTCGGCCTCATCCGGGGCCGCCCTAGGCCTTCGCGCCGGCCTTCTCGGGTCGGTTCGCCCCGAGCCCATACTTAATATATCCATCAATTTTTATAAAGTTTCGATATGTTTTATTTTTCGTCTATATCCAACAATATTTACAACTATATTTCTTAGGTAATTTATTTAAACATGTTTCGCCTTTACTATAAAAAATTTATGAATCCGTCTGTACTTTTCCGCCCTCCCTCCCCCCCCTCTCAACCGAATTTCTGGTGTTGTCCCTGTTTGTAATAGACAATGATTTTTTTATTATCTTTCTTATCTGTTTGTACTTAATTGTTGCCTCTTTTTTTTTTAATAAGCAATGATTTATGTCTTTTGTCCATTTGATTGTAATTTTTCATAATAGTTTTGTCATTATATGTATGTCAATTTTTATTTTTATTTTTTGAAAACATGTATGTTTATTTTTTATTTTTTTTTGAAGGAAGAAAAGCTTTATTAAATCAAGTGTTCAATACAAGTTGGTATAGATGAAATCCAAACAGAAGGACCAGGTTAGGAATAAGCCGCTCGTGCTACAGCATGAGCACACTTATTAACTGATCTAGAAACATAATTAAAGGACACTACTTCAAAGTGTGTACGAAACTCCTTGTAAGCATCAATAGCACAACCTGTGTATGAAAAATCAGTTCCAGACTATTAAGGAGTGTACAAACCATCTGACAATCTAATAGAATAGCAACCTTTATGTAGCCTAGTTCCTTAACCCATGACAAAGCCTCTTTTACCGCCACTGCCTCTGCGAAATGTGCATCGGTTAGGCAATGAACACTGCCGTTCTTTGCTCCCACATAACTTCAAAGAGCTATCAAATACAACACAACCATAAGAAGCTTGGCCACCCTCTTCATGAACAGTAGCATCTACGAAAA